TTTTATAGAACGGCTGGATAATTAAAGAATACAAAAAGCTATGTAGTAGATTTACACCACATAAACATTATGTGGTAACAATAGTTATATCATTTTTCAATGATAAGTCACATTTCGTTTCATTTATTTTGCAACGCAATATATTTTATTTATTAATGGTCAAATTCTTTTACAACTATGGACAAATTATACGATTTTGTTAACTTCTTGGAGTATATTGAAATTGAAATAGATGATGTATCTAATTATGTGCAAAGAACTTATCTTTGTAATGTCGATGACTATGCAGTGAAAAACATTTTTTTAAACGTTATCTTATTCCAAAAAAGAGTTTTACTTGACACTTTGTAGGAATTGATAATTATTACCTATAGACATCCAGTATTATTAAATGATTTCTCATAAAATTAGCACCAATATGAGAGAGTGTAACATATATTACAGACAATTTTATCACATTAGATAAAATTTCATCTAATCTTGATGAAATATCGATGAAAAATAACGCTGATAATATAAACGATATGAACATAACGATACTTTAAAAACGATTTAATTTCCATAATACTTTTCACAACTATGGAACGCATAAATTTTGACTATACATGGTAAAAAAATTAAGTAACCCATAAGTTCTTTATGAGTAACATAAATAATTTATGAATTACATCACCATGTAACACATAAGCTTTATTATGTAGCACATTAGGTCAGGACTATGCATACAAGTATAAAATAATGATCAGTTTTTACATAATTATATTTGCCGAACTTAGCATGCGACAGAAGGTGTTGGACCTCTTTCACATGTTAGAGAGTCAAATATGGTTCTTGGCTAGGCCAATAAAGGACGGGCGGGTATTTTGGCCAGTTTGCACCAGAGACCAGACATCTCCAAGAAAAATTTCGTTGACACCCTGGGGAACAAACCCAGGACCCTGTGTGTCAAAACATAAGTTTCTACCCAATAGACCAGGACAACCACTATACGAGCATAAACCAATTACTGGATTTAATTAGAAAAACTAGATAATTTTTTACTAAAAACCCGTTATTTTATTAAATTATACAATAATATTTAATGCGAAATTTTTTCTTCATGCTATTAACTTGGAAATATTTTTCTATAGTTATCTGCTTTATAAGGGATTTAATAATTTTATTTGGATATTCATTTCTTTATCAGTTCTTTAAATTTTGGTTTTAATACGAATAATTTTGTTTAAAATGTTGAATAAATTTTATTTTATTTGATTTGATTCATTTATACACTGCTTCGTTTTAAGTAAATAGTATAATTTATTATGACTAATATATTTACATGTGAAGTAAAATTTACAGATTAATATAACATTTATATCAATATAACATTTATAAGCTGAGTAAATACACCATTGCCACAAATTTGCTAACCATGAATTTTTAATGAAAAGTATTTTCGTAAAGTTAATAAACAAAAAAATGTAATTTTTAAGTTCCTACAGTTCCTTGGTTAGTTATTAGATTTTCAAAAGTTATGTCATCGACAAGGCAAATGTTTGAAGTATTATCAATAAAAATTTCAGTCATTTTAATATACAAATATAATAAAAAAAAAACTCAGTACAGTGGGGTCGCGGCAAAATGGGGACGTGGCATAGTTGAGTCATTTCAAAATTTCAAAAATTTCAAAAATTAGGGATTTTTAAACTTATAATTTTTTTGGAGATTCGTGAACTGTTGACTTATTGTTGAAAGAAATTGGTTCGATGAGATCTGAGAAAAAGTGGTAACAAAAAACACATCTTAGTATAATAAATACCTTCTCAGCATCGCATCCAAGCTAAAATGATTTTAGCGTAGTATGTTAAAATTGTAAAAAAAAAAAATAAAGCAAAATTTTAATTGTAACAAAAGTTATAACTGATGTCAGTTAGATCTGTTCATTCTATAAAGTGAAAACTAAAAATATCAACATTGATTGTTTTATAATAACTGTATTTTTTTAGGTTATTTTTCTTTATTATGAGGAATAAGATGAAATTTTTAAAATTTTAGCACTGATAAATTCAACTAGATACATTTTTTAATCTTTTAACGTATCATTGAGTAAAATCAGTCCAGTATAAATGGGAATTATCACAATTACGTTTACAAAAAAACACGATACATTAAAAACAGTTTCATATCTACACATCGAAACCAAAATGACACTATACTAATGGATTTTTAATAAATAAAGTATTATTTACTTAATTAAAATTATAGGAGAGTGTGGTTTAATATGATGTTCTTGTATTTAAAAATGTATATTAAAGCTTGACTTTTTATTGAAAAATTTTAAATATATTAACCAAACAAAGATGATTTTTCAAAAAATAATTTTAATTAACACATACGTTTGTTTTAAATTGCATTTATACCTTTTTTGCACGAACTATAATATTGTTGTTGTATAGCGTAAGTTTCTAACATAAGGGTCAATAAATAAATTTTTTTTTTATTGTAATAGCTATAAAATAACATAAAGAATAAGAAGTATTTGATGTTTTAAATTTTATTTAAATTATGGGAGTACTAGGGGTAATTTTTTAATTTTTAGCAGAACTAAGCCTTTTTATATTATTTATAATTAACATCACGGGATGTTGTCGTCAGTGCTTTTAGTGATTTTCAGTTTATTGTATTAAATTGAACATAACATGATTATTATTTTTAGATAAGATGCATAGTGTACAATTATCAATTATCATGTATACAGAGTGACTTTTTTGTCATAACCCACTCATTTACTTACAGAATAAATATAATTTAAGCATTTTTTTTCGGGGTTATCTTTAGTTACACATTATACTTGAATTATTAACTATGTAATACTATTTAAGTTCATCCCTTATGCATTGTAAGGGTGTCAACTTTGTTTTTTTAAATGGGAACACATATTTTGAATTTAATAAAATGTTTGAGTTTTTAATTTAATAGTAGATCGCATTTGAATTTTTAGTATAACTTTATTTATTTATTAGATATAAACACCATAAACTCAAATTTTTGAGTTAATATACATGTATAATACACAAGGGTTTACAAATATAGGTAGCTAATTGGTTTTTTATGACATCGATATTAGCAGGTACACAACATTGTTATTATCAATGGTATTAAGGCACATTGTTGTGAGTTTATAATACACTAACTGACAATACAGAAAGTATATCTATTGATAGTCATAATTGATGATAAACAATCCGTGACTGTGACAGCAATGTTATAAAAATCTAATTAGCTACCTGTATTTATAATTCCTAGTGTATTATACATGTATATTATAATGTAATGTATATTAACTTAAAAATTGTTTAGACTTTATATGTTTATATTTCATAAACTAATAAAGTTATATTAAAAATTCAAATGCCATTTACTATTGAATTAAAAATCCAAACATTTTATTAAATTCAAAATATGTGTTCCTATTTAAAGAAACAAATTTGACACCCTTACAAGGCATAAGGGATGAATATAAAAAGTTTTAAATAGTTAATAATTCAAAAATAATGTGTAACTAAAGAAAACCAAAAAAAAAAAATGTTTAAATTATATTTATTCTGCAAGTAATTGAGTGGGTTATGATAAAAAAATCATCCAGTATATATGTAGAATAAATAATGTACAACAGTGTATATGTTATGTATATGTATATGTTACAGATGAATTAATTATTTGTTTTTATACAAGTAATATAAAATACAGATTATAAATTTTTCATTAATAAATGTAAGATGTGTGATGCTTTGCGTTGATCATATTACGACAAGTTCTAGATAGAACACTATTTTTTAAATACATCATCAATTACCCTAAAACCATATTTTTGTTACGTATCATTAATACATAACAAAAATTTATAATTTATAATCAATAAATCAATAATAATATGTAAGTAAAAGAACATGAAATAAACTCTAATGCAGGCAGTTTTACAAAAATAATATTCTGAGCATTTTTCTTTAGTTTATTTGATTTGTACAAAATATTAATAATTTTTCATTCTAAACAAATGTTATACTAACAAGACCTATAAATTCAATGTAATCGAAAAATAATAAACTTTAATANTTAAATTATACACTTTTTATCAATTATCCAAAAGTTTTAAAAAATTGACTCATGTCGTTTCTGCAATCATCGATTCAATTAAAATATTTTTTCTTATAAGTTAGAAATATATCATTACTTCAGAATATTCCCCAATTAATAAACATGATTATTTTATCCTTAATTTAACAAAACTAGTTTTGATTTTTCTTCCCAATATATTTTTATAAATTCATTTTGCGTATATTATTATACAAAAAGTAAATTACTTTAGTTTCTACACTTTCTATGAAATAACTTATAATAATAACTAGTTGATTTTAATTTATCAAGTTTTCTGTACTCATTAAGATTCGCAAAGTTCTTTTTTTTTTTTTTTAATGAAACCAAACGTTTGGCTTTGTTTATAAAACTGTAATCAGTAGTGATGAGCACTATAAAAGAGAGATTTCATGCACATAATATACAGCAAATAGCGGTGTAACATATGAACAATAGATCTAAAAGTCCACTATTGCTGTAGGGTAAATTAATCTGTAGTCCAAATTAGAAAACTGTGGTGGTTGGCCTAATGTTTCTTGAAAGGCAAAAAAATTAAAAAGAAACCATGTTTAATTATTGTTATAATTTAGAGTATCATACAATACGCTTACATTTTTTGTCTGAATAAATAACTACCATTTTTTTTTTAATTTAAAACTAGTTTGCTGATATAAAATATTTGAAACACAACAACAAACATTAACAACAAAATTACTTATAACTGCAAATATGAGTAGATATTAAACTAGAGTAAAAATCCAATGTTTATATTAATTATATTTATAGCTCAGCACTTATTGAATCATTTATAATTAAAAAAATTAATTAATAGTTTTTTAAAAATTGTTATCATTCTATATTTTGCGTATGTTGTTAATGGTGATAATTAAAAACTCACAAATAAAATATTTGATAATACTTAATATTATATTAAAACTTAAGGTTAGTAAGTAAAAATACAACAATTTATTTATTAATTTATATGATAAATATAAACTAATTACAACTCACTCAACTACTAGTTGATAAAATTCAAAACGTCACTAAGGTAAGTTAAAAATAGAATTAAAAATAAATTTTAAAAACTGTATAGAAATGGATTTTAATGAAAAAGATTAAAAAGGGTACGGAATGAACGTTATTAAATGTTAGCGATAAATTTACCAATTAGAAAACCTTTTATTTGTGATGAAAAAAAATCGTCATCAGAATAACATTGTTCTTAGACAGGTAATCCTATACATTTACTGATTATCTCAAGCGCATGCTAAAGAACCCAACCACTAATAACTTTAACTGAAGTATAGTAAGTTATACCTTTCACAAAATTTTACGAAATTGTAAGTACATTTTTTAATCGATCAAGAAGTATTTTTAAATATTGTAAATTTATTCATTTTCCTTTAATATTTATTTCGTCTCGCAAATGTAAGTTCATTAAATAATTTTCCAACGTAACGATGTAAATCTGGTACTTCAGCATAGTACACTCCAACAGTACTAAAGCAATCCACAATTTAATATTAACTGAAATTATTATAGTGATTCATTTTATTATTTTTGTATTTATTGATTTATACCTAGGAGACATGTGCTTGCCAATGACAATTTCTCTTTCGTTTGAATATTTTAAAGAACTACAGGTTTTACTTATAGCGTTGTTATTATCATCGTCCATTTCAAATATATTTTTATCATTCGATACAAGTTTCCCAATTTCATCACAAGGTTTAGCCGTCAACTTATTGTCTATTGACGCTACATAGTATAAAACAGACGATCCATGAGAACAAAACTTTACATTAATTTTCGATTGTTCAGTAAAACGTTTGACTAAATACAATATTGTAATAATAGTTTTTCATTCGGTTCGAGTAATATCTTTAACTGAATAATATATAAGTATTTCAATTACCCTCTGTTAAATTCGAAATGCAACTAGGTTGTGTGACGCCATTGTTCATATAAATGTCGACGGTCCCAATCGGTTTTGAATACCCGTAGTATCCGATATTACTGTGAATCACATCTACCACTTTTGCGCACTCTGGATTTATTTGTGGTCCATTTTTAAACCATGGGCCTGCTGGGTCTAAAGCTAGAAAACAAAACGTTCAGGAAAAATAATATCAAAACATTTTATTGATTATAAACTAGTTATGGAAACTTTATACCAGTCACTCTGTCTAAATAATTTCCTGTAGTTTTTTTATACAACGAACCGATCTTTCCAGCTATATGAGCTCCTAAGCTAACACCTATAACATGGACGTGCTTAATATTTAAATGATTGTACAAGAATTTTACAATAAAATCAACTATTTTCTTTGAGACCTTTGGGAGGTCACAGTACACAGATTTTGCGTAACGTATAGCGAGTGAGATAACATTAAGTTTAGCAATTTTACCAGTAACCTCTGAGTAATCGACTAAAATAAGGTTATGATCATCTGTTCCATTTATATAACCTAAAAAATGAATTATAATGTTAAACATTATAAACACGTAAAAAACTAAACAAATTTTAACTTCGCTTTGTAATATAATAATATCTATTGCATCAATATCTTTTTGCAAGATTTTTTTGTATCAGACATAAAAAATATACCATATTTTATGATATTTGTACAGGAGAATATTTTTTAACTCACACGGGACAATGATAAATCGGGGAGATCTGATTTTTGTATTACTTTAATGTGATTTACCATTTTAATTTAAAATTTGTTTTAAATCTCCTAAAATATGATAAAAATATCATTTTAGCTTGGAAAAAAACATCAATACATGTAAAAAGTAACTTCAGTAACCACCGTAATTATTTTTACCATTTTTAACTTAATCTTTAAAAATCTTGATTTTTGATCAAAGTTGAAAACAATTTTAGATAATATTTTAAGTAGCGCGTAAAACAATTTCTCTGGTTGTAACCTAACACTATCTTTAACAAATAATAAATACACAATTCATTTTACTTTTAATATAAAATGTAATGTAAAACCTAATATTTTTAATTAAATTTGAATTGCAAACTTACCATTACGAATTGCCAAACTTCCGATATCGTCATAAGATCCACCAAAGCCGTGAATGTAAATTATGACATAATCACTTTTGGCAAAATTTGCATTATCTAATGAATTATCATCAATAGAAATCTTTCTATTTGTATTTCTATATATATATTTAAAAATACGTTTAGATATTATAACATATAATAATAAAATATCGACATACTTCGTATACAGCGTATAAAAAACTTCACTTGTACCAGTAGAAAAAAAAGAACATAGACTATTTGTTGCTAATAATACATTATTTATTTTTGATATTATAACCAAAAATTGTAAAATAATAAAAATCATTCCTTTACAGTATTATACTAAACTATAATAAAACCATAATAATGTTATTTTAATCCTATCGGTTCTATGACAGATTAGTAAATGAAACAATACTAATCTATTACTATACTTTAAGTGACGAAATCATTGATTAAGTATTGTATTTTAAATTCATCGCGTACTGCATTAAAGTCTTCGGAATATTGATTTTTTTTAATTTTAATTCTTCACTAGCTGCGAATTTCATAGTTTCTTTACCTTCAGTATTTTTAAAGGTCATATCTAAAATATCATCTCACAATCAGTCTAGAATTAAAAACACGATTAATAAAGTATTCAATTAGAAAAGCCTTGAACATGTCAAAGACAAAAATTTTTTATTAAGAATTAAAATTGTTTAATTCAATTAAATTCCTACTTATTATGTTTATTACTGGATTAAAATAACGATCTAGTTATTTAATAAGATTCGCTATCTAATAAATAACCTAGTTAATTACGTATGTTACTATTTGGAAATAAAAAGTTGACACCATTGTAAAGTATAAGGTATAAACATAAAAAATACTTCATGAATGATAAATTTAAAAAAAAAACATGTATCTAAAATAATCCAAAGAAAATAAATCAATATTATTTTTATTTCTTCGAAAAATCTGCTGGTCCATTAAATGATGACATCTCTATATATAGATAGCCAAAACAATTTAATTTGTCTTATGAATAAATTGTCAAAATGAGAAATACGTAGGTTGGTACATTCCATTAATACTAAACGTTTGATAAATAAAAATAAATCTAAAGTTGTACTCACTGTTGAGTTAGTTGCTGGGCATTTTATAAATATCTGAATAATTTATTTTTTGTAGTCATTTTGAATGTAAAAAGATTTTGAAATTGTTATTAGTGTTTGTTTTTATTCGATTAATCGTGACTATGTCTGTGTTATTGAAATTGAGAAACACAATTTTAAACGCTAAAATCGTATGTACTTTATATTTGCCATTCAATAAAATTTTTATTGATTTAAAAAATGATTAAAAAATAGAGAGTTGTAAATCAAATACCTTCATCATGTTCAAAACTCAATTATAGATATTATGGGTACAAACCAAGTGTGTATCAGCATTCAGAATATTTTGAACAACACAAAATACATGATTTTAGTCCTGTAGAATGGAAACCATGTCGGTTAGATTGGAAAAATGTTTGTTTTTTTTTTTTTTTACAAATTTATAACTAATATTTTTATTGATACTTTAATAAAAACATTGTAAGAAATTTTTCTTTTAAGGCCCTTACGTTTTTAATAGGTTCAAAAAACGTTTTCGGAACGAACAAATTCAACGAACAAATATCAAGAAGGATCCGATGAACCAACTACAAAAAGAATAGAAAAATGTCCAACTAGAAATAACTCATAAATTTTTTTACAAGTATCCAGATGCATAAATGGCATCTTGTACATTGGAATATTTTTTAACATACTCAATATATTTTATTAAAAATATTAAAATAATTTTTTTCTTCGATTATTTAAAATAATTGAAGGGGCAAAACATAATAATTAATCTATAAAACACAATATAAAAGATAAAGATTTTCAGCATTAACTATCATGAAATTAAAAACTACCCATTTATAAAGTACGTAAATATATATATTTTTTTATGAATTACTATTTAGCAACTTAATTAATTGACTAACGACTTTGTTGAACTTATTGTTTAAAGTACTAAAAACAGCGAGATTAAATTATTTTTTATCAAAAAGTGATGGGTTTTATTATACATTAGAACAGTTTAATATAAATTGTTTTATAATAATGGCTTATAGTATTAATGTCCATTCATCTTTTTATTTAAAAAGACAAGCAATACAAAACGGTACAAAAACATTTGAAAGATTGTTGTTGTTCCGCCAACCACCTGTGGTACATCCGTAGGCATGCGATGGAAGCCCTTTAGCGATAAATATTCAGAAAACGTTAAATGACTAAATTAAGTTATGAAATAATATCATAATAACATTAGAGCAAGCCCCTCTCGCAGTTAAAATATTGTTGTTTTTTTAATAACCGTTGGACGTTTTATTTTCGTTTTATGAAAACTGTTCCCGACAACGGAATAATAATTTGAACACTTTTCTCTCTTAGCCCTCGCGGAGTCGACAAAGTTAAAACGATCGTTCTCTAAATTAAAGCTGGCTAATTTACGAGGGTATGTGTGTTATTATTTAAATGTTTAAGACCGAGTGCGACTAAGTCGCCTTCAGACGTTCCAGCTGCGAGCAGACGAAAAGAAATACTCAACGAACATTGCCCGTTCATGTACACCAAACATTTATTTTGCAATCGTTATTAGGCATTAATATTAAACAGCCGCGTATGCGGTAACCGCGAACCAGGTGCAATTTTCTAAAGTGAACCGTAAATCAAGGTATTTTCTCGACTGCCTTTTGTGGATAAAAAAAGAGAAAAATGGACAAAATTCGAGGCTGAAAAAGTTAATGAATGAATAAATAATGACAGACACGTACCTATAACTGCCATGCGGCATCCACCGGTGTGATATCCCATCCTAATGTATTATCGTTTATTCGCATTACCGGGAGTAACTTAAAAAAAAAAAAACAACCTAAATCTTCTTGCTGAACAAATAGTATTAGGAATTTTATAGCCATGCCTGTTGATATTTGTTTAAACTATGTGTAGTTCAAAAAGAGTTCTTCAATATTCAATACACGAAGGCTTAAAAATCCAATTTGTGAGCCCATATCTATACAGTTCTAAAGAACAAATATCACTAGTTCTCTAACGAAAATAATATAGCTACGTGAAATATACATTATCTTTGACTATTCTCAAAACAACTTGTTCATTAAAATTGCATTACAAAACATATAAGACATCTATGATAATAATAATCTATAAGAAATAGTTGAGCACAAGTAAAATTGGATTACTTCACATGAAATCTATAAAAATTGTATTGGGAAACTGAAATATAATGATCCCTAGATAGCGTTGAATTCAATGTACCACACTCAATTTTAACCATTTCATGATAAAGCAAAAACAAAATTTAAATTTAAAATACAGGTTACTAAAAACGATGTGAATTTATTAAAAATAACTTAAGTTGAATTTTAAAATTAATGTTTATACTCCGAGTAAATAAAAACTTCAAAAGGTCTATTTTACCCCATGTTCCAATTTTGATCCATACTACCATATATTTATTTATGGTAATATATGATGAACCTAAACCTCCCAAAACTTTTTGTACATTTTTATGGTATAATTATTTATTGGTTTATTACTTATAATTTCAAAACCTTAATACCAAGTATAAAAGTTTCTAATCAAACATTGCTGCTACATAATATAAGGTAATACATAAAAATAATACTGTCAATGTATGTATTTCAGTGCTTACGTTATACAAACCACTAAATTTTTTTTGTAAGGTCATTTTTAGAAGTTTCTATTAAAAATTCTTTAATTAAAAAAGAGGAAGGATCAAGTTATTACAATCCTTCAAATGTATATAATACCCATAATATCTTATATCAATTATATATTTTTTAGCAAATTAAAAAGAAAAAATGTTTGGAAAATCTTTCAAAATATTTTTATCATTATATCAGTTATTGACCATATATTATTTTTAAGTTTTATATAGATCGTATTATTCGAAAATTCAATCATTTTTTAGTTTAAAAATCCTGCTTATGAGTCACATTATGTTTTTATGTAAAATTGTTTAAATTTGGCTTAATCGTTATAAAAGTTATATTTTTAATAAATTTTACCGAAAAAATATATTTTTTTATTAAACATAATATATAAAGTAATAAAGAGAAAAAGTTAAGATTTTGCAAAGATAAATTTTTGAAAATCAAAAAAAAAAATTATTTTTCTCTATCATCAAAAACAAATATTTTTCTCTTTGTCATTTATTTTTATTTCTAATATTTAAAAAAATGCGAACAAATCCGTGCTTTTCAATAAAATGGCTCTATGTCGATCAATTTTGACTTTAAAAAGTTATATAAGAAAACATTTTAAAGCTCTTGCATAATACTATTTAATAGTGTTTTTTTCCTAGACCAATTTTCGGAATAAAATAAAAATAAAAACATTGGTTTTTTGTTCTTTTATTTTTGACGTTTTTAAATTTAATAGAGGTACAAGGTTTTATGTTTTATCATTATTCAAAAGTAAATTTAATGAGTTATCGTGCAAAACTAATTCAAAAAAAAAATTAAAACATTTTTTATTTTTCTACTTAATATAAAATATGAGTAAAAATATACGTAAATTAGTAATTTTACGTAAGCGACAGAGTACACTAAAATTGTCTATTGATATTCAATAACGTTTTAAATAACGCCATGGAAGGCGATCCACATTGTCTATGGTAAAGCGTATCAAATTTAATTAATCAAATTATGTTCTCAGCCAACTGTCGTTACTCAATGATAATTAATGATATTCATATTATAATCATATTAATACGTAAATGTTAAATGATTGTCATCGGAATTGTGGTTGTTACCATTACACATGCAATCATTTATAATATATCAACATCTGGTACCGTCAAGTGCACATTTAGTATGTAAAATGTACAGTATAAAACATTCTAGACATTCAAGAACGTCCAATTACAGTACCTTGTAGAAAATATATCAATTATACTCCCCTTAAAACACGAGACGCAATTACGACCATTTATTACAAATTTGTGATCGAATTGATATACAGTTACAATAAGTGCGTAATTCTTTAACACGATATCTCCCAACCTCTCATTCAAAAAATGGTAATTTTGTTTTTTGGGAGTACCTACTTTTCTATATAAATTTGTGCAAATTGACCTTAATCAAATTTATTCAGCCGTTTTCTCAATATACAATAATAATCAAATGATTATTTTTTTTCAAGATTACCTAAAAAGACAAATACCAATATTACAGTTTCATTAAAAAACTTTATGTTTAAAAATACTAGTTATATTAACGTAATATTTAAAAATTCAAGTAGAACTATTAAAAATATTGCAAAAATAATGTTATCAAGAATTAAAAATTATTATTTAAATTAAGTGTTTAAGTTTAAAGTATAAAACAATATGATTCACGATTTTGTTTAAAAATAAAGGCGGTTATGCTAAAATCTATTTTTAGCTACATTTTATTTACACAAAAATAATTAATTTTTTTGTTTAAACAAATTGAAGCCTTTAGCACGAATAGTATTCTATATAAAATAAAGTATATATAATATTGTCATTAAAATATTGTGCTTTATACAAAGAAAAATCTTTAATTTCTAAAAGTACTTCACATTTTTCTAATTTTTCGAAATGTTAACATATTATTACTTGTTATTTTTTAAAGTTGATAATTTTTAATTTTCCAATATTATTTAATTTGAATTACTTTTGATTAACATTAAATCAATTAAAATGGCAAAATATCGTGTAACTTTTTATACATCGTGTGTAATCATTTTTAGTATTTATGTTAACTGTGAAAATGCATTTCCACCAGATATTACAAAAAAAGCTTTAGACCTTTCTTTAATGTTCAAAAACGTTCTGTTATTCTTTATCAATACTGATTTTGGTGGTACTCTTAAAAATGTTGAAACAGTTCAATTCAGCAATCGAATACTTGAAAATAAGGTGAATATTTTATTAGACTATAATTTAATTGATAAACTAGACAACATCACAGTGAAAGACTCCAATAGTGATAGTCAAAATAAAATTGACAACACGCTAGATTACATATCCGCATATGGTGACAAAATAGCTTTTATTTTATCTATAAAACCAAACTACACAATTTGGTGGTTGTGGCAACATAGTATGTTTGCTAATTCCATAAATAACGTCTTGCAAACGAAACGAGTATCAGACTATGTCATCAACATGGGCTCAGATGATAAAAAAATGAAATTTGTTAAGGTTAATAGAGCTATAATAACAATCATAAAACAATTGGAAAACTTTATAAGAAAATATAATCCTACGTTTAAATTACCTGAGAATTATAATGATTTATCTGCAGATGAAATTCTAAGAAAAATCCCTGAAGCTTTAAACGAATTTGATAACCTAATTTCAAAACATTATAAACGAGCTTGCCGAAATAAAAGCGAAATCACTATAAGTCATTATAAGCCAATTAATTTATACTTGTACCACAATGTAAAGAGTGCTACAGCAGTTGAATTATTGATGTCAAAAAAAGTATACATTAAATGGTCATCTTTTTGGGAAAACGTTGTAGAGAATCACAAAGAAGCTGTAACTGAGTGGATGAGTGAGTCCTACTATAATATGAGAACATATTATGATTCCATATTCGTTTTATTAAAAGCATCAGTTTATGGTCATCTAAGGATACACATTGTGTTGTGTAAAAGAATACTAAAGCTGTCAAATATTCAGAATAAAATTAATCCCCCCAAAAGTAAATTATCTAGTCTAACTCCATATTGGAAGTCATTGAGCACGTCATTGTTATCATTTATTACAAATTTTGACTTAATCAAAGATGAAAAAATATCAAAATTGCCATTGCTATTCAAAGGTTCCAATTATGAATTGAAAGTCATAGAGCAATTGATAGAAGAAGAATTTATTTATATTGAGAATTTCGCATTTATCAAAGAAGACAAAAAATTACTATTTAATTTTATATCTGGTTTAAAAACTGTGGACGAATTAATATCAGCAATAAAATTAAACAAAAATGATTTGAAAAAATATTTAAATGTAGTTTTTACTACATTTAAAAACACTAATTTTAGTACGGCTAACATGTTTTTCGAGTGTATTCCAAAATAACATAATTTTACTAATGTCGCTTAAAAGTAATATGAAATAAAATTAATAAAAAAAATATAAATTAACAAACCTTATAATTTTATTCTAATTAAATTAGTTAATATCGAATGTTATCTAATTATTTCTAGAAAACTAAGGAAACTAATGGTACACATAACATTTAACTTAATGTAACATATTCAATTTTAACTGTTAAATAAATCAAAAATTTAATTAAATTTAAGATATACAGAATAAACATTTATCTCTCGATTTCTCTTAAAATACAAATTACGTTAAGAAAATTCTTTTTAAAATATTTTAGTATCATATAATTCTCAATTTATCAATTATTTTTTTAATTTATCCCTTAAACCTTATAAGGGTGTCAACTTTTTTTTTTTTTAATGAAAACATACATATTTAACTAGTTTATAAAATAAAAAATGATCTAATGAGGAAAATGACTAGTCGATTACAATGTTTGAACCATTATTTCGGAAGTTATAATTATTTAAAATATTGATTAGAACTGAAGTTTGGTATATTGTTTTTTTATCATTTTGCATTAACTTGTCGCGCTCTTCTTCCACTCTATATTGAAAAATGTAAATAACTTTTGAAGTACTATTTAAAAAATTGTTTTTGACTAGACATTTAATATAATTAAATCATTTGTTATTTTATTAACTAGTTAAATATGTATGTTACCACATACTTTAGGTCAAACAGTGTAGTCATATAAGAAGGAAGATAAGTACTCCATTTAATTCCTTTTCTTACAAAAAAAAATAATAATAAAGATTTGAGTAAATCCGTAAAATATAAAAATATGAAAGGATGGCCATTTCCAAAAAAATGTTCCAGCTACATTAATCAATTTCAACATCAATTTTTTGTTATTAATTATTTAAACCTATATTTTAGATCAAACAGTATAGTCTAATAGGAAAAGGGGTAAGTACTCCAATTGAAAAAAGATATGTTGATACCTTTATAAAGTATAATGGATGAACATAAAAAACACATCATGATTAATAAATCGAGTCGAAAGATGTTCCTAAAAGAAATCAAATAAAAAATTCTCAATATTATTTTATTTTTTGATTAATAGCTCATAATAAATGAATCACTGTATTTTGTCAATATTTCATAACCTAATTATATTCACAAATACCAAAATAAAAACAATACATTTTTTCTTATAGTATCCGTTACATAATTGAACTCTTCATTTGTGTTTAGATTTTTGATTGTTAAATTATATTGTATAGAAATTGTCGAGGCTAAAATAAATGAAATCGGATTAAAAAAAAAATTAGATACTCAGGTAACAATTTTGCTTTGCTCAAATACAACAGTAAAATAGTGTAAAGTGCCAAACATGGAGTTGTTTTTTTAAACTAACAATTTTATGTTAATAGTTATATTTTTCAAAATTAAAAAATTTTTACACCTTCTCAGAGGCGTCATTTGAGGAGAGTCAGGGTGTTCAACCGCACCCTTTATTTTAAAAACAGTCCCAATTGTCCTGCATTAATGCACCATTTTTTTATACATAAATTCAAATTTAAAAAGCATTGTATTATCATGGTTCAATAAACAAATATTCTGGTAACAATTAATCGAGTAAACAATAAATATATCATACTGAACTTTTCGTACCGGGCGCAATATGTTGATATTGATGTTCGTCGTAACAGTTTTAGCTTTGATGCAAATGAAGGTATTAATTTTACCATGATGTGTTAACTTTATTTTGTGTGTATACCATTACTTTTTCTTACTCTCACTGGATCGATTTTTCTCAACAATACGTCAAAAGATCACAAATCATATTTAATTGAGGACATTACCCTCAAAAATTGAAAAACTTTCCTAGATTCCCCGTAAATGTTGGGAATCCTCCAAAAAATTACGATTTTTAAAATCATAAATTTCGTCATTTTTTTTCTAAAAATTACCATAACTTATTGAAAAATGAACAAATTAAAATAATTATTTTCTATATCTAAAACTTTAGTAATTCCCTTTTATTTAATGAAATATTTTTGAAAATCTAACTCTTAACCTGCCCACAAAAGAGATTCAAAATAGCAACTTTTTCACAAAACTCAACTTTTCAACTTAAGTTTTAAAAATGTTCCGGAAATACTGCGTCCTTAAAACATATGTAAAATTAAACGTATGTTACGTACTAAAAATTAAAAAAAAAAATTATCCCGAAGAGATATCTTCATTATGCAAATGGCTGCCATACTTAAAAAATATGCTATTTTTGTGTTCAAATTTCATTATTATTTTTTTTTTTTTTGTTTATTTTAAAATACCTTATAAGGGTTTCAAACTCTGGGTTTGCATAGTAATGAGACCAAAAATTTATATAAAAGTTACATAAATCTAACTAACATTAAATATAAATCTTCTTCTTTTTCCTAACATTAATCCCAAACTGTTTGGGGTCAGCCACTCTTATCTAAAACTTTCACTTGACACGATCTTCCACATCATCTACACTCACATCGGCCGTCCTCATATCGCATTCAATAGCATTCCTCCATCTCTTTTTTGGTCTTCCTCTACCTCTTCATCCTTTAACATTCATTTCTATAACTGTTCTTACAGCTTCCGATTCTTCTCTCCTCATAACATGACCAAACCATCCAAGACTATTTTCTCTCATCTTATCCACGATTGACGCTATACTTATAATCCCTCTTATATGCTCGTTCCTTAACCTATCTTCTCTAATCACTCCTCGCATACATCTAAGCATTCTAATCTCTGCTCTACTTTCTTGTCAACCACCCAACACTGTGAACCATACATCATAGTTGGTCTCACTACAGTCTTGTAGAATTTAACTTTCAGACCTCTGGCCTACCTCTTACAGAAGTCTGGTTTTTTTGCCAAACAATTACAATGGTTTTAGTATCAGTGTGTGTGCCGTACGGTTGGGGCACCTGGTTTTTTTAATGCCAATTTAAGTGGCGTTTATTCGATTTGTTTTTGTATAGATTATCGTGGCTCGGTGAAGCGAATTACCGCCATCCATAGTCTGTATTGGTCGTGCTGCATATTTAAGGTATGTGCAAATTCCTAATCTTATTGTAGGAATACCAAATGTCAACTTTACCAGTAATGTGACGTGGCATGATTAGGTGATATTTAATTAATTGTATTTTAAATTGAATAGTTAATAATTCTGTTGAAATTATAAATGTAATAGAGTTAATATAATTAAGAAGAAAAAGTCTTTTTTATTATTTTGTATAAATACCTAAGACATTTCCTTTTGCTATTAGTATAAACTTACAAGAATCTAGAGGCACTCTGGTTATGCCGACAGAAATTTTTAGATGATATAATGTAATCTATATAATCACTCTAGGAATTAGGAAAAACCCAAGTTTACTTAAGTAATATTCACATTTAAAATTAACGATAATGTCAAATTGTTTCCCTTTGGAATTCTCCAAAGTTTTGTCTTGGAAGGATATGCATATAAAAAATGTTTACCATCTCTTCCTAAATATCTCTTACACTAAACATTTATTTTCGCTAGGGTTCTTTAACCATAACCCCCTCGTAAGATGTTCATAGCGAATAAAAACTGTCCAAGAATTAAATATTTGAAAATTTAAAATTAATAATAATCTGGTTACAAATAAATAATATTTTACCTATTTAAAAGTACCTTATTAAATTTATTTAATAATGTACGCCACATTATCAATGCAGAAGACATGAATGACTAAAAATTCTAAATAACCCAAATTATCTGAAGTTCACAATACAATTTTATATTTAAAAATTATTTTTTAAAATATGATCGAAGATATTTTAATATTCATCTTTGATAATTAGTCTTCTTTCATATTTAAAAAATTATTTTTGATATTTAAAAACTTAATGATTTAAATGTGATGAAACTTTCATGGATTATCATATTATTTGAAAAGCTTGAGGATTTATCCATGTTTGCAGTTGATTGCTGACGTTTCGGACTCATTGCAGAGTCCATCTTCGGAGCGATAGTTACTGCTCGGTGGCTGAAACTATACTGGTGGCTGAAACTATACTGGTGGCTGAAACTATACTGGTGGCTGAAACTATACTGGTGGCTNTTCGGAGCGATAGTTACTGCTCGGTGGCTGAAACTATACTGGTGGCTTATTTTGTTATCAGTCTGTTTTTATACGTTGGTTGTTTATCATATCTGTTTATGACTCATGTTGTTTACAGTATTTTGTTTTTTCTGATGGTTTTGTTGACGACTTTGTTTTTGATTATTGTTGTTGTTTTTGACATTCTTGGCATTTTGGTCTTCCTTTTCTGCACCGACAGTTTTCCATTACGTTGATAGTAACTTTATCTTGTATTGAACTGTTTTCAGTGTTGTTAGTTGATTTTCTTTTTGTCTGGTGTATGATGGGTAACCAAGTTTTGCTTATTTTCCATCTGTCTTCTCTGTTGAAATTCTCTGGACATTTTTCGATTTCTATTGCCTCTTTGTATATTCGTTTACCAAAATGAGTTTCTTTGTTTAGTATTTTTACTTTATCGAATTAGATATTATGTCCTTTGTTTTTAGCGTGTTCGGCTACTGCGGATTTTTCTGTCCTTTGGTAATCCACGTCTTTTTCGTGTTCTTTTATTCTTGTTGGAAAAGCTCTTCTTGTTTGTCCAATGTAGGATTTACCACAAGACCACGGTATTAAAGTTCCTTTCTTTTCATCTTCTTTGTTTTCTTCATCGTCATTGCGTGTTGTGTTTTTTCTTTTCATTTTTTTTTCTTTTTATGCGATGTGGATACACAATCAAAAATATCAACAAGGCAATCAGAAAAGCAGAGAAAAGAAAAAATAACAATGTACAAAGAGGCAATAGAAATCGAAAAATGTCCAGAGAATTTCAACAGAGAAGACGGATGGAAAATAAGCAAAACTTGGTTACCCATCATACACCAGACAAAAAGAAAATCAACTAACAACACTGAAAACAGTTCAATACAAGAAAAAGTTTCTATCAACGTAATGGAAAACTGTCGGTGCAGAAAAGGAAGACCAAAATGCCAAGAATGTCAAAAACAACAACAATAATCAAAAACAAAGTCGTCAACAAAACCATCAGAAAAAACAAAATACTGTAAACAACATGAGTCATAAACAGATATGATAAACAACCAACGTATAAAAACAGACTGATAACAAAATAAGCCATCAGTATAGTTTCAGCCACCGAGCAGTAACTATCGCTCCGAAGATGGTCTCTGCAATGAGTCCGAAACGTCAGCAATCAACTGCAAACATGGATAAATCCTCAAGCTTTTCAAATATTTAATGATTTAATTTTAAAATATGTCGATTAAGTTAACCATGATAACATTATATACAAAATAAATTAATGTATATATACACCTATTAACTTGTTTTACAGTTAAATTAATACCTTCTCAACTTGGCATCGAAACTATAAATGTTTAAACACAATTCATTTAATTAATAAATATCTTAACACAACTAAACATTTAAGATTAAATTAATGTTTCGCATAACTTTTTAAAGTATTATCAAAGTAAACTACAAAATACTAAAATTTTATTGTAAAATATAATTAAATAAACTGCTAAAAACAAATTTCTTGATTTCATCTTGCATAATAAAAAGTAAAGAAAATTAAATAATTCAATAGCATGCTGGGATTAAAAGTGTCATTGCTTTGAATACAAAATATAAAATTTTAAACTATCTATAAAGGAAAAATTGTTAAAAAAATTACATAAGAATTAAGGTTAAACATCGTGGGGCCTCGTACATAACAATATTTTTGGGCTCTAAAATTTTTTTAATTTAAAAAAAAAATTTAGTCATTGACTAAATTTGCAGAGCCCTTTAAAGCACAGGGCTCACTTCATATGCCCTTCATACTAGCCCTAATTTACATTAGTGCAAATAAACAATTTAAAATTAAAATTTACAGTGAATGTCTTTACTAATTGTCATACTATAAGTTAGTTTATCATTTTTATGATAAAATAAACAAATAAATTTATTTTTTGTAGATAATTTAATTATTGACTAAGAACTAAATGTAGCACAACAAAATACTTGGGTAACATAATAATTAAATTTTATTAAAAAACTTTTTTACATCATATTTACTGCATAAGAAGTTATCTTTGCAAGATTAGCCTAAGAAACTATAAAATAAGTATAATATTAACAGTCAATAATTTATAATCATTGTTTTACTTAACAACTAAAACATTCGATGTCAAAACTAGTAATTATACATATCACAAAACTTAATTTAAAGCTCATTAAAATATAATAACATAACCAGCAACAACTTAAATTACCTTATTTTAAACTTAAACAATTTGTTCATAATGTACAAAACAGCTATGCAAAATTATACAAAAAAAAAATAAAACAATATAAAATAAATTTTGTTGTAAAAATAGTTTTGTAAATGTTAAAATGGTAAGACTTGGTATTACATTTATATTACTCATTATAACATTTCAGAGTTAAGTCTAAATTTCAAGCTATATAGTACAATTTTTCATATAATTCTGTTTGTTAATATTTATAGTCTAATTTTTCCACTAATAATATCTTTATATATTTCATCAGTTACTTTTTCATAGATTCCTTTATTATTCAAGTAATATAAATCATTCTTAATAATATCATTATTAAAACCTTCCTTTTGCAAGTCCAATTTCTTTAATTTATATGTACCTATTAAAAATAATAATTATAACTTGTAATAATTTTAATTAAACTAAAATAAATATTTAAGTGTTTTAGGGGAAATATGAAAAATAATATAAAATAAAATATAAAGAATTGGTCAAAAACAAACAGGAAAATGCAATTGTCAGAAAATCATATATTTTATTTTATCTTTGAATAAATATATAATATTTTTATGTTTTTTTAGTGCAATATGAATTTTATATTTTGATGATTTCAAAGATATTTAACATAGAAAAAAACTTTAACCATTACCATAGCTACTAATGAAAAATATTTCATTAGATTATAAAACAAAAATTTCTTAAAATGAACTTGTCTAGTTATTGTACTTTTAAATTGTTACTTATTGTTCTTAAAAACTTAAAATTATAATTATCAGTTATAATTATTACTTACCAGTTAATTCAACTTCATTAAGTTTTCTTATAAACAATGGTCGAGCATAGCTTGGTAGTAATTTTTTTATTCCATCAGATAATGAGGAAATATCTAATGTATTATCTTTATCAACAATAGCAGCCATACCTGCCCGACCTTCAGAGTTAGGCACCTAAGATTAAAAATACAAAGATATATTTATTTTGTTCTTAAAAAAACAATGTTAAGCTAATTATATTGAACTAACAAAAAAATTATTATATTACCTCTACACCATACACAACACAATCACGATAGTTAGCAATATTACTGACAACTCCTTCAACTTCAGCTGTAGAAACATTTTCACCTTTCCATCTAAAAAAATATATATATGATGTATTCATTAACAAATTTAACTGAATAACATTTTTAAAAAAAAATTGTAAAAGTTTAATTGGTTGGACGGATCATTATTTCATTAAAAATAAAAATTGTATAATAAACAATTTAAAATAGATTAATATATTCAGTAGTAAGAATGCAAAACTTATACTTTCAAATCCTTAAACCACTTATATAAGAAATAATACAAATGATAACATATTGAAAAATGGGTTTTACTCAGATATACTAACATTAATCCACTACCTGATCAAAAACCCAATTGTAAACCTACAGTAGTTAATTAAGAATTTATTTGCGGAAGGAAATAATGAATTGTGAAAAAAATACAAGTCAAAAGATTAAAATAAATGATCTCTTCTAGTCAATATGGAATCATTTTTTACACTTTTTTTTTTTTTTTTTTTTTTAATTTTTACTGTATTATACTAGTTTAATTTTTAATTTACATCATTTTTTAAATAAGTATTTCTGATATATAAAAGTAAAAAAATGAATATTATAACTCAGAATGAAAAAAAAATTGAATAATGGAAATTAGAAATGAATAAAAAAATTTTCCCTAAACAGCAGCTGTTGCAAAAACCACTACTACTACAAATAGTATAATTAAATTTAAAAGTGAATATTTTTAATGTTAATTATATTCTCTCATGAATAAGGAAAAGAATAAAGAATTTTTTTTGTGTACATTTTTGTTCTAATTAAATTTTTTAATTATTTAAAAAAGCAAATATTTTATTTTTTTCAAAATAATTTAAAAGTTTACAGTACCTGAACGTGTCACCAGTTCTATCTTTGAAATATAAATATCCAAATTCATCAGAAACAAGTAAATCTCCTAAAAATATAAATATAATTTAAAATTTGCATAATTATTAATATTTAAGAGGTATAATATACCTGATAAAAATGCAGCATCTCCTTTATCAAATACATCCCGTACAATTTTTTTTTCTGAATCTTTATTATTTACATAGCCAAGATATTGCCTTGATGGATTAGATTCAATGATTTTCCCAACAATTACACCAGGTTCGCCTAAAAATTATTATAATGAATTAGAACAATTGTAAGTTTTTATTATAGTTTAAATAAAATACTACACTAAAAATATTTAAATATAATTAAAAAGAAAAATTACCTGGGTTACATCTCATACATAGTCCATTAGCATTTCGAATAGGTTCACAAGTTTCAGGATCAACACGTATAATAGATATGGGATAAATACTAGGAATAATTCTTGACACAAACCCAATAGCTCCAAAGGTATTATCAATATTTGCTGTAAAATATCATCAATTACCAAATAGTTACATTATATTAAACTAACTTCAAGTATTTACCAATATTAGCATTTCCTTCAGTAGATCCATAAAATTCTGCAACTTGTGGAATGTTGAATCTGGCAATAAAGTCTTTCCAAATTTGAGGTTTGAGACCATTACCAAAAATTATTCTCAATTTGTGATTAGTGTCTTCTGATTTGGATGGAGTAGCTAATATATAACGACACATCTCCCCAATATATTGAGCAACCTGTTTTATAAAATATATATGTAAATAAAATACCAATGTAATAGCAATTACTACTTACAGTACAATTATATTTAGAAATATCTTGAAAGTAACCAGTTGCAGAAAACTTTCTTCTAATAACTACTGAACAACCATACAACAGTGCTTGACCAATACTCATAATACCAGCAGCTGTATGATACAATGGCATTGCAGTATAAAATCGATCAGAATACTTGAAATCAACTTGATATGACATAGCACCAGCAATAAATAAATATCTATTTAAAAAATAATTCACATTAAATTGTTTTATTTTGAATTCAAACTTCAAAAATTATAATTCATAATTTATTGTAACAATATAAAAAAAAAAAAAAATGCCATTAAGATTAATTGATTCAAACAATAACACACCTGATATTTGAAATGACAGCAGCTTTTGGTAAACCTGTTGTGCCTGATGTGTAAATATATAATAGATGGTCATGAATGCCTGGTTTTTCTATTGGATTAGGTTCAGAAGTGGAAGAATTTTCAAGCAAAGTATTCAAATAATTATTGTCATCAGATGGTGTACTTGAACTAGTCCACACAAAAAGTTTCAAATTACATTGTAAGTTGTCTTTAATTTCTTCAATGTCTGTAAATTAATAAATAAGTTAAAAGATTATAATTATAAACATTTTTGTATTACTGCAAAGTAGATTTATTACTCACCAGATATCAGTTCAGACCCATAAATTAAACATTTACAGCTGGCCACATTTATTGAATGGGACAACGACGTTAGTCTAAGATTGTAATTAATTAGTGCAGTAACTATTCCTATTTTCGACATTCCTAGCCAAATAGCAACAAATTCAGGTCGATTTTCCATCATTAGTCCAACTACATCACCTTTTTTGAACCCTTGTTCTAACATAGCATTGGCAACTTTGTTGCTGTATTCTTCTACCTGTAACATTTTCATAATTAGTAAAATTATTATCTTAAATAAAAAAACATAATAACTATCAATAAATAAATAAAGTTTTAAGGGAGGTATCAAAAAATAATGAAATAGCAACATAAAAGTACTAAAAGTATTATAAATATATTATCTATAATGTTAAATATGATTTATTCGCTAATAAAAACTTAGGGAAAAAAATTGAATTCCACAGTTTTTAAGGTAGTTTTTGTATGATAAAATGGTATATTCTTACACAATAATGTACAATAAAACCTACCAAAATATTAAATTGGTGCATAATGGTAAAGTTTAAAGACTAAAACTTTCTTAGATATTTAAATAGTTACAGGATAATTTTTAAATAAAAATTTTAACAAACTTGTATAGCAGTCCATTCTTTTTCTTCAAATATGAAAATTACTTTATTTGGATTGATCTTTACAACAGTGTTCTTAAATATATCAGCGATAGTCCAGTTACGTTTTTCTATTTTTTTTGATGTATATAAGAAATAGAGATAACGAGAAAGCGCTCTATAAAAAAAAAAATAATCAATGATTAACATTTATTACAAAAATAGTTTTTAATAGTTCAATAGCCAAAATCATGGTAAAATACACATGTCAGCTAATATAACAGACATGATTAAGTATACAAACATTCATTTTTAACTTGTTAAATAACATAACTGAGGCCTGATTTAATTATATATATGCAATCTGTTTATTAATAATTGGGTAATTGATCATAAGAAATGTGTAAAATATATTTTACAAAAATATATTTGAGTTAAATAGGTTGTGATATATTAGATAAGATATCCTCTTAAAAATCATAGATCTCTAAATTTTAACTACACAAGATTTTGATTTTAGTATTAGCTTCGATGCGAAGCGGAGAAGGTATTAATTTTACTATGATGTGTTTTTTTTTTTTTTTTTGTCTGTTGCCACTTTTTCTCAGCTCTCACTGGACCGATTTCTTTCAAAAATACGTCAAAAGATCACAAATCGTATCTAGTTGAAGACATTACCCTTAAAAATTGAAAAAAATTCCCTCGTTCCCCGCAAATGGGGGAAATATCCAAAAAAATTACAAATTTAAAAATCGCTAATTTTCGAAATTTTTTCACTTTTTTTTCTTAAAACTTCCATAACTTTTTGAAAAATCAACAAATCAACATAATTTTTTTTTATACTAAAACCTTAGATATTTACCTTTCATTTGATATCATTTTTTTGAAAATCTATCACTTAACCTGCTCATTGGGGGGGATTTAAAATGGCAACTTTTTTACAAAAATTAATTTTTTCAACTTAATTTTTGAAAATGTTCCGGAAAGACTGCGTCCTTTAAACATATATCAAATTAAAGCTTATTTTATGTACTACAAAATGAAAAAAAAAAATTTGTCCCGACACTTTTTTTTCTACATTTAAACGGCTGCCGTAGTTAAAAAAACACTATTTTTGTGTTAAAATTTTCGATTTTCGATTTTAAATTTTCAACTTAAAAATGCTATAACTTTTTGAAAAATGTATATATCAGCACAAATTTTTTTTTTCTAAATACATTATAAGTACATCTTTCATTTGACATACTTTTTATTAAAATTGGACAATTTCCCCTTATATAGGGGGCGTTCAAAACTTAAAATATTGTAAAAAACATAGATCTTTTTCAACTGAACTTTTGAAAATGTTCCGGAAATACTGCGTCCTTTAAACATATATCAAATCAAAGGTTATGTTATATACTATCAAATGAAAAAAAAAAATTTGTCCCGACATCTTATCTTCTATGTGCAAATGGCTGTCGAAAATTTAAAAAAAAATGTAATGTTTGCGATAAAAATTACATTTTATCGGGATGTTTTTTGTACTTAAAACTGCCATAACTTTTTCAAAAATGAACAAATAAAAATAATATTTTTTTGTATTGAAACCTTAGATATTTCCCTTTCATTTGATATAATTTTTTTTGAAAATCTAACACTTATTCTGCTCACTGGGAGGATTTAAAATAGTAACTTTTTTACAAAAAATAACTTTTTCAACTTAATTTTTGAAAATGTTCCGGAAATACTGCGTCCTTTAAACATATATAAAATTAAAGCTTATTTTATGTACTACAAAATGAAAAAAAAAAATTTGTCCCGACGATCTATCTTCTATACGCAAATGGCTACCATATTGAAAAATATACTATTTTTGTATGATAATTATGGGTTTTGTATTTTATTTTAATAGAAGTTGATGTTGCTTTTGCAATTATCCATCAATTTTTTAAAATTAAACACTATCTACAGATTTGCATCGAAGCGTTTCTTATGATAGTGATTTTAATCACTGTCAGATTAAATCTATACTGGACCCTACTATGCAATGTCTCTACTATGCCGCGACCCCACTGTGCTACCGTTTTTTTTTCTTAAAAGTAAATAAGAAATTACTTATTCATAAAGATATTTTCCAATATTTTACGTATTGTACATATAAAAATCTAGATACATTAAAAATATCATTCATTATAAATTTATCAAATAACATGAATGTTTAAATCAATGCTTTATAAAGTTTTACGTAAAAATCATACATTTTGAGATAAAGCACAATAACTGAAAAACTACCCTTTTGTTCGAATTTTCAACCTTCTTGAGGCACGTGTTAACGTCAAGCTATCGGGACCAAATTTTGCACAGTTTATTTTTACATGTAGTAAAACTATTTTTTGGTGCGCATACATCGAATTTTGAATATCTGTATTTTAAGGACCACCCTATTAAGCATATAGTACAAATAACGTTTATATAACTCAGTATACTCGTGGAATAATTAATAATAGTTAGACTATTGTAGAAAAATAGAATCGAAAATTTTTTACTAAAGGTTCACTGTGGAACAATTCTATTTAATGGTAATAAATTAACTTATAGCGATATCCAGTTGACTATAACAATAATTTTATTGCTTTATTTTTTGTAATTAAATACAAAAACCAAGTTAATTCTATTTTATTAAAAAATATACAAGTACAAAATAACTATATCAGCGTTCTCGATGAACTGATGACCAACTATTCTTGACTTAAAAACAGGTTTTTAAATCAAGTCTAAGTCAAAGATCTTAGAAATAACCGTCCAAGGACGCGCACAATTTTGTGACGAATTTAATTTATATAACATCTGAGGTCGTTGGCGGATAGTGCGCGCTTGAAATACCAACAACAACAACGTGAGTTTTAATAATAAATAAAAAACATTGCCCAGAAATGATGTGAATATAATAAGGTAGTTAACAGGAAGAAAATGTCCAAGTTTTCATTCAATGCTACGGTCAAAAACGAAACCAAAACTAAATTTTTATTTCATGATAAACGCAAAAAAATTAACTGTATGCATTAAATTTAAGTAATTAAATGAGATATTAAAATTCATATAACTTATTTATTGATTTTACAATCCATAAAAATTGCACTTTGAAAAATTATCATATGAGGAAATCTGAATGCTATTTTACAAATTTACTAGATCACCTCGGTTTTTTTGTTATTAAAAAAATTTTAATAAATAATTCCAAAATTAACATTTCAAGCATTACGACGATAAAGTGAACGTACCAGTTTAAGCTACGGTTATACGATATCCATATTAAGTTGTAAAACAACTATATAAGTGTCCTTCTGATTTGTTTAGATTCTCAAAAATAAAAACTATTTAGTTTTTTAATAAACTTACAATTGTTTCGATATAAAACTATTTTCTAATGAAATTTTTGTAATACCATTATACTTTATTGTAACAAAAGGTTTTTAAGAGAAATTAAAACATTAAACTTCCTTTACGTCAATAACCTAAACAAGAAGTCAATCTAATTCTAAANATTAAACTTCCTTTACGTCAATAACCTAAACAAGAAGTCAATCTAATTCAACTGACATTTGAACTGAATTTGATTACATATAGTTGCTTAATTCAAGTGGATAATTTTATTTAAAAATAACAAAATATTTTTACATCCCTATAAACTAAATTTAACATTTAACATTTGTAATAGTTTATTTGTTTTTACAGAACGTAAGTACACTAAAACAAATACACAAGCAGACTAAAACCATAAATGACTAATTAAATCATTTGACAACGTTAACCAGTAATTTTTCATGTTCTTGGCTTACGCTCAAGGAAACACATGTATGGAAAAATATTCACATTACTACTGCATTAATTTCCATATCTGAATAATTGTTACATTGTATTTGATCAAAGATAGTAACATTATTATTGAATGGTATTAACGCAGAAAAACAACAAAAATATCACTATTGTAATACTACATGTTCTGTGGTACAATTAAATTGCCCCAAATACAATTAACGTGTCTATCTAAATATACAAGAATCTTGCTTTTATTGACTCGAGTATAAATGCTTAAAACGAGGTAACACACAATGTAACTCTTATGAAAGGTCGAAACTTTGAAACAACTCGTATTTTAAAAACGACTTTTTTTTTAAATACGGCAATCTTGCACTGACAATGCGAAACGAACAGTCAATTTATTGTCAAATAAAAAACGTAGTTAATTAGTTGTACACAACATATAAGTTAGACTTTGATTAATGTTATTGTATGCGAATCTCACCTAAGATCTCTGGGAGCGGTACGGTATAACAAATACACGAACTTGTAACCGCCACTAGCTAAATAAGCTATAAACGCCACCACGATGACTTGCAGGAGGAACGGCAGACCCATTGTATACCACACGAATGCGGATGACAGTACGAACAGTACGGCGGCGACGGTTACTTTCAACGCGACACACAACACTCTGCATACAGGCCGCGATAGACCACACCGGTATTCGCACGCTAGTCCACCACCTTCAGCCGCTTTTCCTCCTTCTTCGGCCTGTTCGGGAGTTTTGATAGCAACTGCGGCTAGCCGTGAATATTCACTACTACAATCGACACCGCAAACCTATCAAACATAAATTAAAATCACATAATTATTCAATTTGGAACGATTAATCAACAGGTGAACTCATAACATTAATATTAAGTTTTCTATTATACCGACCGAAAAGGTAACTTAAAATGGCAGGGATTATGTTTCTACATAATAATGTTTAATTTTACAAGTAGAATTATACATATTTACATAAAATAATATCGCAGTCACATGATTGTTGTGCCATTTTATACGATAAATTAATAGCACAATTGTTTTAATGGCTAGCTTTTAATGACACTCCATCGGTAATTCTTACAAAAATATTCCAATTATTGATGAGTTGACAGATATCAGTTTCAGCTAATAGTACTCACGCATGCCTACATTCATTTTTAATGACTTGTAATTATAGTTCCACCGTCTAGTTTCCTCTACATACATAATTTTTAAAGCAAACACAAAACACTTCAAAAATTATCCATTTATTCATTAATCAACAGAAATTAGTTCATATGAAATAATTTCACCCGACAATTCTACCAGGTTCTGAGATCCATGAGAATTTTTTAATTTGTTTTATTTTACCAATTAGCAAAATATTTTCTCAATTTAAAACATAAAATTAAAAATATATTTTTAAAAATTTGAAGCCAATATGATAAACTACATGTTAGGTATCAATGTATGCAGTAAACTATAATGTAGTAATATATATATATATATATATATATATTTTTTTTTTTTAATAAATTGCAAATGTGCTAACTAGTTCATACAAAAATTAATTGTTGCACCATCGTGTTTCTCAGCACGAGATTCGAAAGAGACTTGTTATACGAAAGATGTAAAAACTAATTGTTATATCACAACATCATAAAAATATAAAACATCTCTGTTAATTACATGCTAGTAATATATTAAAATAATTTTAAAAGAACTAAACTAGACTTAATTAATTTTCAGGTTTTACTTAATTATTTTAAAAGATACGCACTAAACATTTTTACTATTTTGTTTAAACTCACCGTTTTAAACAAATACAAAATCATTACATAATCAGTTGCCCATATATTTCTTTGGCCTGTATTATATTGTACGCGTTTGTACTATTTTAAATCAAGTACAATATTTAAGTTAGCCACTCCTACTAATATATACAGTAAATAAAAACAGCGCGTAACAACTTTTTGCAATACAAGGTCGCCTGAACTGTTAATAAAAAAATATAGGTACATATATGAATCGCACGTCACATGATTATAAAAATAAACTACTAAAGAAAACATGATGTGATTCCTGATTGATAAAATATACTATGATGTTTTAAACATTATACAATATTAATTGTATACTTTTTACCTAAATTATGATATAAATAAATTAACAACAAACATATTAACGTAGACGCAATAAGACTAAAAGGTCAAATGATTACATTGCGATAAAAACTCAATAAACGTCAATGAATTTATTTTATTTAATATAGCTAATAATTAATATAACTTTATTTTATTTTATTATTTATAACAAAACTATAATATTATTAACCATAAAATAAAAGGTAATTATTAGGTTGGTCGCGGAAGTGCATCTACAGGAGGAAAGAGTCTGAATTTTTCATAGAGAAAATAAACACGTATTTTAAAGTAATACAAATACGTATAAGTAAACGTAAATAAATAAAAATTAATACATTAAAAAAATATCAGAATTAATACTTTACGTTTAAAATTGAAATGATAATTTAATATCTGAACCTTGGACTGATGTTGAAAACATTTGTTTGTTAAGAAAATTGATTATTTTCTCATCTAGTTTGCGATAAAAAAAAGTCTTTTAAAATCTGAAAAAGTTAGCCATTTCTTAGGCGCTCTTATCCCTCCTGCTTAGATATAAAATTATTTAAGATAAGATAATTAAGAGGGGATGATAATTACCAGAACAAAAATATTTCCATGATGAAATTTTTATATAAATTTTTTTTTTCATCTGGAGAGTGTAGGGAAAATTTGTCTTATATAAAAGTTGTCTAAAACAAAAACCTAATTACGCCTCCAAAGATGGGTGTATATAGAATTCAAAATGAAGTTATTAAAAATAAATAATGAAAATAACTGCAAACAAAGATAGATGAAGAAATGAGGTAGTTGACGAAATGGGTTTAATGGCCAAAATTAAGTTAAAACATTTTTTTAGTTATTCATGAGTTATATTGATATTATAAAAGTAAAAAATATTTTACAAGTTGAATGATTTTAAGGAGTCGAGAGTAGGCAAGTTAATTGACACAAAACGCCGATGACACAACTTATGGTATCAGCATCGAAAGTAACGTGAAAGTAGTGTGGCAAAAATTTTTAGACGGTTCAGTATATACATAACAGTTGAAAAATATTTAATTTTTACGATTCACATTTATGTTCTCTCTTGTAATATAATTTCCGCAGTAAAAAGGAAATCGATGTAGTTCGTCGAAAAGTAGTAAAACATCTTATTGAATCATATCATTTATTAATACTTATTTGTATATATTATTTATACAGAATGTCTCAGATCTAACTTACAATGTTTATACTTTTGATATAATAATCATTTTGTAGACTGTTTTAAAAAAAATAATTATTGTCATCTTAGTATATTTTTTATCATTTACCACTAATGAGAAAAAAATTGTACATTTATTTTTTTAACGCTTCAAAATAAATATTTTTTAGCAGTTTTCGAACAGAAAAAATTTGCTGAGTCCATAATCATTTTAGGACAAGCATTCATTGAATTAAAAGTATTTTAATACATATAGTGAGTATGGAACGCAAGTGGAGTAAACCTACCCTAATACGAACAGCACCCACCAAGATCAAATACTCACTAAATTAGTATTAAAATGCTTGTAAATAATGAATACTTTCATAAGAATGTTATCGATAAGCGCTTTCAGTTAGGTCTAAGATACAATGTATATTAACTATGCTTAAGAGTGTGTACCCTATGTTTTGTCTTTTATATCCAGAATGCCTCTGGATGGGATTAAAATGCCTAAGAACAATGGCCTTATAATTGGATTTCCAATTTTTTTATAAAATTCTTTGGTCTTAAAATAGTCTTCAAACAAACATAATTTAATATCCTGGATCAGTCCACTACAGCTTATAAACTTCCACACTAGGAGATTCAGGGGGTGGGCACAACAGCATGTGCCTCCTGTTAGTTTTTACTCAACTAATTTTTTTAATCATTCAAACAGTTATTATAAAAACGGATTTGCTTAACCCTTACAAACCTTTGGCACACTATTATGTACTTATCATTTTTTTTAAATTTACAACCATAGTTATGAAATTAGAACAGTATTACCAACACCAAAAGAATCTAAATGATGTAAACAGCAAAACTAAAGCACAATTTTTTTCAAAGTTTAAAGTTAAAAAATAAATTATTTTGAAAATCGATATTTATCTCATCAATAAAAAATTGATGTTAAACCACTTTAACTAAAATAAAAAAAATGGATTTAAAACTTTAACCTGAAGGAAGCTTCCCTAACACATTACTTTATCTACCCTATCTCTCTCCAAAAATTTAGTTTATTTGAGAGGTTACATTTTTTTTTGAAGGCCAACCCCTATGCAAACAACATTAAAGATACTAATTTCAAGATCCGCTAAGATTGTCTTTCCCTGTTCTTAAATTATTAACTATAAATTTGTAAATATTGAATAGTAAATTTATCATCCTAGTATCAACAAAATCTACTAAATTACAAAAATCTATTACCTTCAAAAAAATAATTACAATAATAATTATAAATAAAAATAAATAATTATGCAAGGTAATTAAAGTGAACATTTTTATTTTATTTTTACTTTTATTTATAAATTTACATGTAAGGTACTAAAATGACAATTTTAAAAGTTTAGCATTAAAATAAAAAAATTAAAGGTAATCCATAATTAATAAATTAAAATGAAACTTGACCCGCCCAAATTCAATAGTTTTAACCCTTTCACATATGACTTAATACTTTTTATTAAAATGGCAATCAATTTGTTGTGTGGTTCTAGAATAAGCTAAAAAATGATATCCAGAAAAATCGATTTTTCAACTTAATTTTTTATTAATTCATTAAGACATTTTTCTCCACTCGTCGAAAATTAAGTTAAGTTACATTTTAATGACAATTAAATCAATATAGCCTAGACAATCAAATAATAATCAAGATTCCTATTCGAAATTACAGGAAAAAATATTAGCACGATAATTATGTGATTATCAATATCTACGCAGTTTGCACATTAACCTTGTATTTCTATAGAAGATGCATTATCTTATAGTTAACTTTTATGGAAGCAATTCACGAAAACAAACGGGTAACACAGAGTTTTCTTTAGACAACATAGTAATCCTACACCTCCTGTAATTTGAAGTTGCCGTTTTTTTTTGCCTGAATTACAGAAAAATTATATATTTTTATAATTTATTTATAAAATTAAAAATAACTAATATTATTAGTAATAAGTAGGCTAAATTATAAGGCTGTTTTTTAAAGGCATGGTATTTCTTTTTAAGGCGTTTTCTATTTAAAATAGCACAGAAGGGATATAAAAAATAATTTACCCAGTGAACACCAAAAAGTTTAATACGATACTATAAATTAAAATCATTTCAATTCATAAAGAAATAAAGATTTATTTTAATCATATCAGAAACACATTTTAAAAAAATATTTCAAAAAACTAAAATAACCTTTGGGAATCTATACCATCGAAGTAATGTATAATGTATATTTTTAAAACTTAAATAGTTAGATAAAATAAAAAGTAAACCAACTGTTTTTATGATTTAATTATAAGACAATATTAAACGTGTGTTACAGTCAAAAATGACAATATTTAATCATTTTTGAGAGATATTAATCTTTGTATAAAAAATGAAATATAGAATTCAATAATAAAATCAGAATGATATATTTAAACACAACTTCTCTACAAAAACATTTCTAAAAAATGAATTAAAAATGAATTTTTTTA